CGGGCGATGGTTAACATCGAGCCCTGTACTTTAATCTTTGTTTGTCTCGTTTTCCTTTTCCTATTTTTATTAAAACATAAAAGAACAAAACAGGATCTTAGATATTATTTCAGGTTTTGCCCAAACAACCTTTAAAGTAGCTCTGTTAATTTCCATAATCTGGTTCCTGTTAGGGATGGAGTAAAGCATAGACAGAAAGTGTAATATTTTAGGAAGTATTGTCATTTTCTTTAGGAACCATATGAGGATCTTCATCCAACTACAATCTTTATCTCCAAGATGCTTAAACGATGCATTTACATTCTTGTTATGAAGTTGAAATGAAGACGAATCTTTGGCATAATGTGAGCCCTCCAGGGCCTCCAGGTTCACAGAATAGGACTCGTCCTCTCCTGTGGTTTTCCGTTCTCGGAGTTTAACCAGGGACCCCAAAATCAGTCCGAATTCTTCAACACCGTTAAAGAATGCTGGGATCAATTTGTGGGATCAGTTAGAGTCAAAAGAGCGTCATCTGCATAAAGCAGAACTTCCTTTAGACTTTCAACTAAACTTTATTTATAAAGCCCTTTAAAACAGCCACAGCTGTAACAAAGTGCTGTACATATCAGGTAAAGTTAGAGTTGTAGAAAAACAATACAGAAGTTTAAAGGAATAAAACAAATATAATAAAATGAAACGCAGTAGAAGGCATTAAAATGGCCCTTCCAGCCAAATGGCAGCCCACTTCCCTGCAACTCCCAACAATCCCCTCCAACTTCCAGCCACTGGAATTAACCCCTCTTGCATATTATTTTACTCTGACTTCAGACTTTCACTGAATTACAGGGTCTGACCAGGAGATGATGCTTCGTTTTAGATCTTAATGTCCACAAATAATGACATTTAAAATGAGTTGTAGGGGACCAGCCAAGAATCCATCAAGGAAAGTGGGCAAATTTTGAATGGCTGCTACAGTAAATGATTCAAAACTAATAAAACCAAATAAAAGAATCATGAAAATAATCCACAAATCCAAAAACAGAGTGGGTTTCATGCTATGTTAAAAGCCAAAGAATTTTAAAAAATCAGGTCTGCTGACCAGAGCCACCGAGTGAGGTCTAGAAGCCCAAGATGTATATCCAGCCGTTCAGCAAAGATGATACTACATGGCTGCACATCTTATTCTGGCAATTTACCAATTAGATGAGCCCTTGAATGATATATTACCTACTGGAAATTAAAAAAAAGTCAAGAAAAAAAGGAAAAAAGCTAATTGTGTCATTATTTTATCTGAAGCTTGGACCCACATGCAGTGAAACCAATTCAGAGTTTAACAGGTTTATTGAATTGTTTAGGCTCGGTGCGGAGTTGCTCAGAACTCAGCTCGACCGGAACTGGAAGGTGAAGGGAAGACAAAACGATTAGTTCAGGCTCAGTGGGAAATTTCATTCGAGGATATGAAGAAGAGTGGTGGTTGACTCACGTTTCCAGACAAGCCGTAGGATCTTTGACTCCACTCTGTGTGTCGTTTTCCTGTGTTATTCTGATTCGGTGGAGGGCGGAACAGGGTTTACCCAGAACTCGGATGGTTGTTGGTGAACGGAGAAACCGATTTCCTGCGTTACTTGAACGGGTCGTAATGGAGATGATTCCCTTGCTCAGAGAGTTAACTCAACGTCCTCTTCAAGGAAGAAGGATCCAATCATCCAGTTTGAATCTCCAGCTCAGTTAGAGGCTCAGTAGATCCCTCCAGGGAGTGAAGGTCCAAAAGATCCAGTTTGCAGGAAGACTTCCTGCCGAGAGGCAAAGACAAAAACGAAGTTAAAACTCAGGTTGACAAGAACTCAGTCTTACTCAGCAAAAACTCAGCCTAGCTAGAGTACCAAAACTGGCAAACACTCTGGCGTCGAGGTAGTGGCAATCAGGAGCTTAAGAACACTCCGTTAACGAGGTAACCGTCATCAGGTGTGTGAGGAGGCGGACCAGAACCAGGCGCCCCCTGCTGGTGGAAGGGAAAACAACACAAAAAGACAAACACACAGACTGGAGTCCTGAAAAAATAAAGTTAATAAGCCTAGTTATCAATTATATTTAAGTTTATAAACAAAAAAATGTAAGTGCCAGTATCATTATTGAAGCCTCTAAGGTTTTATTCACTCTGAGTTTTTTTCCATGAATTTCTTATAGAAGCACTTTTATTATTTTTCTTAATATATTCGGGCAAGTTGGCCTTTCTTCTTATTAAATTGACATAATTTTTTCCCCAAAATATCCATATTTTTTTTAAGTCACAAAGGTAATAAGGTCCTGGATTCCAAAAACACTATTGGCTTTTAAAGTATTTCCCTGAGCGTCCTATAAAGAGTTGAAAGGCATGCGCCCGCATTTTGCACAAACTGCAGACGTGCGAGGGAGGACTGTCCAGCCGAGATGTAATAAAGGCATCGATTACGGTTTGAAAGTGCTGCTGTGCAGGAAAAAGGTTTGACTTTGACCAACTGTCTGGGATGATGTAGAAAAGCTGAACTTTATAATAAAGAGTTGATTTAATGATCCAATTTATAATCGCTGCCCATCTTAAAACCCAAATTTGAGATGAAAGTGGCGCCATCTTGAACCTGTCCTTTGATACCTGGGGTCTGTCACTATATAGCCAATGCCAAAGGTTTGGGGTGAAATGAATATTACATTATTAATGAGCATCTTTATTGCATGGTATTGAAATGATGAAGGAGTTTTCTATAAATTAGAACCAGTCCGGGGCATCGGTAGGCCTCTCAGGCTGTTAGACGTATCGTCTGGCAGGTCATAATTACCGATGCCCTGCGAGCCCTCCATCCTTACTCCATCCATTAAAGGCCAGAAAGCCATTTCCTTAATGAGCGCTAGAAAGGCCTCTGCTCCTGCTTAGCTTCTGGTTTTCATGTCAGCGTTGCGTCGGTAAACCTGCTGTCATGTTTTCTCAGCCGACCTCATTGCCTGTCTACCGGCTGAGTCATGTTTCTGTTCACGTTCTAACATTCCACTCTTTTCTCTTTTTCTTCCCCTTTTCCGTTTTGGACAATCCAGAGGGGAACGGAGGGGTTCTGGAAGTCCGTAGCGCAGTATGTGCCTCGGGACCCAACAGAGATGAGAATCCTCAATCCATACTTCATCTACGAGGCTGCGTTCCACTTCATAGGCCTGCCGTTCAACAACGGGTTAATGGGCAAAGGGGTAAGAGGAGCATTCACATCTGTATCCACCAGTATCACACTGCTTTCACTCGACACTGGTTTCGCTGGCCAACAAGGCGGCGTCACAGTTCCTGTACTAAAAACAGTAAAGTCAAACCTGCTAGCAGTGATTTCCGTACAGCTCTAAACTCATTAGCAAAGCTAGAAATTGAAGTTTGGAGTTAATTTAAAAGGATTTTCACTCCTGGTTCAGTTTCAATAACAAACTGGAGAACGTCCACAACAGAGGCGTAGCCAGAGAACTTTAATAGGGGTGGCCAGTCAATAACCAGGGTTCCCGCAGGTCCTTAAAAAGTCT